GGGGTGGGGGGCGGACGGGCAATGCTCCAATCTTATTCATGGGAAGCAACAGTATTGGGAACTGGTGTCGCACTTTTTCTAGTCAGGCCACGTCTGGTTTCACTGCGAAAGCTGAGACGGATTCTGCCGGTATGTGTCACTCGATGAGTGGCGGGTTTGTAGCCGACTGCCTCTACCTCTGTTCTCTCGGACGTATAGACCTCTGCTTTTATGAAGTGATGGGATCGAACTCCGACTGACTCGGTTGCTCTAAATAGGCCCGAGTGCGGCATTATCGATGGGTCTACGGTGGATTTTGTATTAGTGCTGGGACCAACTCTGATCGGCTCAGTTGATATTTTTCGAAATAGGCCTGAATGCGGCGATTTTGACGATTCTACGGTGAACTATGGATAGTCTACTGTTTGTGGCTATGTGCGCGGCTGGTGATTTTGTTTTTTTGCCTCTTGACTAGTGGTGGTTGGACGACAGTTCGAAACCTGGTCTCGTGCGTAGTTATTATCTTTGACTGGTAGTCGAACGTGGTCTCCTTTCTGATCGGCTGTGGAAGTTTTTTTTCCTATCCTAGCTACGCAGGTATTAATAGGCGGATCTTGAGTTGACACATACCTTTCGCGATCAGAAGACCCCTGACGAGTGCCGGTGGCGGCCGGCCGAAACTAGTCGGGTCCTTAGCCGCCTGAACTCCATTGTTATATTTTTCGTATGAGTCGCGTTCGGGAGATTTTTGCCTACATACTGCGTACCATCTTCTCTTCGCCGTTGACCTTCTTCTTGTCTCTCTTCTTCATTCCCCTCTCTTCCTCTTCTCCCCTTTCTTCCTCTTCTTTTTTTTCTTCTTCTCCCTCTGCCTGTGTGTTGCTGCATGTATGGTAGTCACACTGTCAGCGTGGCTTTGGTTGCCATTACTACACTTTGCTAACCGAAGTAACCACCGTAGGAGTTAGACTATCGGTTGTGTGGCTTCGTTTTCGCTGTTTAGTAAGACTTAGTGCTGCTATGGCTAATTTACCCACGGGCAGTGTACGTACGTGCTTCAGCTGCGGTGACCCTAACCACTTTGCACGATGGTGTCCCCATCGGCAGAATCCGGGCAGTTCGGTGTCCGCTGCTGCTCCGACTCCCCCCCTACTTGCCCTTCCTGCCACATCTAGTCTTCCTCCCCCACCACCTCTCCCTGCACTTCCTATCTCTAATGAAACCACCACGACCTCTGTACCTGTGATGTCCTCTGGCTCGACGAACACTGACGGCCAGTATGTTAAGGGAAGTGGTTGGTTCGCTTGAAGAGGGTGACCCAGTTGAAGAACTGGTATGACGCAGAGATGGCGAAGATTCTGGCTAAGCGGCAAGAAGAGGCTCGGCTACTCGAGGAATGTGAAGATGAGAAACGAAGACTTCAGGAGAAGCTTGATCGGGAGAAGTTCCAGACAGAACTGAGTGACACTTGGAATGCCAAGTTTGAGTCGGTGTGTGGCACGTTAAGATCGAACAAGGGCAGTAGTACGAGTGATGTGGAGATTAAGATGCTGAAGAAGCAGATCGAAGATCTAAAGATCAGTCAGAGGCATGCGGCGAACAATCTTGGATCCTCTTCTAGCGCTCCAACTACTGGGAACAATGCTCTGCTGGCTCGTATCCTTCAGGAGCACGATGCGATGAAAACACGATTGGAAGATGCTGCTGGTGCATGTAAGCATGTTGAGTTGCTGGAGACTGAAGTGCGTACTCTGCGGCAGTCGCGTGAGGAGGCCGTAGAGGAGGCAGAGACATGGAGGAAGGAAGCATTGAAATCGGGTAACAAGCGCAGTAGGATTGCGACTTCACCATCTTCTAGCCTCAAGATGCCTCCGGCCGCTACTCCAGCGAAGGACAAATCGGCAGCTAACCTTCGGCAATTGCACAACATGGAGGTCGATGCGCTGAAAGCAATGAGGTTGCAAGAGCTTAACTGGAGACGGGAAGCAGAGCAAGAGAATGAGCGGCTGAAGGAACAGCAGCGGGAGATGGAGCGTGAGCATGCTCGTCTGAAGGAAGAATTGGCTAAGAAAGGTAAAGAGAAACGGACGCCGATGTCCAGTTTTCGTGAACGTTTGGATGAAGCCGATGGCGTCGCGGATGGATCAGGGCTGAGAACCACGAGGAAGAAGAAGCCTGCACTGCCAGTGGGGTAACGATGATAGTAGAGAGAACGATCGGGACGCTTTTTTGCATGAAGCAAGGAAGGAATTTAGGAATCTTTTTTTTTTTTTTTTTTTTTTTTTTTTTT